AGTAGCCAGAGAGCCTCAACTGCAGACCTGAACTAGCTAAATCAGACACCACTCACTGTATTTCCAGCCAAGCAAGACAAATGAACTCTGTTCACTCAGCTGGACCTCCAGGTATAGCTCCCCTTGCTCTACCCTTTTCCATGGCTTGCTTTGCCCCCACAAGCAGGATAAGACCAGGGAACATGCAGCTGCAGTTCCAAAGTTCCAGTACCCACAGGGAAATGACACTGTAGGAGACTCATCTGATAATCTTCCCAAAACAGGAGTCACAGATCAGAAGAATCTACTTTCACAAATGCCCGCAGTAGTTATAGATTCACCTCCAAGGTCTGCTGTCAGGCCAACCCCATAGCAAAGGAAAGCACTTGGAAATTGTTCTAAATGCCGCATGCATTTAAAAAGTAAATAAACATGATCATCTTCAAAACAACAACATTAGCAATTTAATTTCTAATGCTTAAATTAAAATTGGTCAGAGGTACAGTATAATGCTTCTAAACCATTATCAGGTTCATATGCAAGACAGAGAAGAGAACACATTAGCCATCAATGTTTCAAATTTTGCCATAGGCAAGTCTAGGACAGAACCTCCAGAATTTCTAAACTCCTTAGTCAGGTTACTAACAACTATTACCTGTAAGCCTGTTATTCTTCAGCTAAAAATGTCCTCCAAGATAAACTGGAAGACAGCTAAATCTTTTCAATATTTACCTGAAATGACTCCTTATTCCTGACGACAGTTATATTGAATGTGGTTGCTTTGCTAATAGGCAGTGAAAGGACATTCCAGAACAACTGAGCCATAAAGACACCAACAAAACAAATACTTGGTATCACCACGTGGTCTATCATGCACAAATTAAAGTTATTGAATCCTCAAGAGACAGATAGTAAAACTGATAGGAAGGAATGCTAACTACAGCAGGAAATGTAAATATACTGCTTTAAAGGGAGATCAAGAGAGATCAAACTGGGAAATACATCTATACGAGAAACCAGTTTAGCATCAGCAATTAGTAAAACAACATTTAATAAAATGAATAAAAGCAATTTAATATCAACAATTCATATCAACAATTAAAACCTAGATAGACTACTTCACAATTTTTAAAATCGGCACCTCATCTCCTGGTATATATTAACCAACGGCTTTTCTCACTTGGACTTTGCCAAGTTAAAAAAAAAAAATCAGAAGAATAAAACTGTTCTCATAAAGCCTTTTCTCTGCTGGAACTGCAGCCCCACCATTCAGCTGGCTGCTCAGGTCCCTGGCCCCGTGAGCACCGCACCGCCAAGACCGGCAGGTTTGACCTCCTGCGCGCCATATTTCATCTAACACCAGAAGCCATAGGTTACTGGATGCACCACTGTCTTGTGTGCCTCTAAGAAGCAAAACCTCCACCAAATCTAAGCCTTATCACAATTTCAGAGATGAAAATATGACACGTATACATTTCAGAATTGGTGTAACATGGTAATAAAGAAGGTTATTTCATAATTAAAAAAAAAAGAATTGGTGTAACATGGTATGTGGTAAATCTTAGTTCCTTCTGATCCCAACATCACCACCCTAATCCAGACCCCCTTATATCTCACCTGGACACGTCTACCTCGTCCCCTTTATTCTTGACCCCTCCAGTCCAGTCTCCGCTGGCAAAGTGACAAATTTTACAATACAAATCTGATTATTCTTGGCTCCAAAATTTTCAGTGACTTCCCCATGCCCTCAGCATTGAGATCCAGCTCCTTCAGGGAGCCTGACTCCTATCATCTCTCCAGCCTCATCTCCAGCAGCTTCTCAGTCAATTTCTCACCTCCAACTGTATCTGACCCCTTTCAGTTCCTCAGGCACCACACTCTCACCCACCCCTCAACCTCCATACACTCAACTCCCTCTGTGGGCTCATGATCCTTCTTTTTACTTGGTTAACTCCTGCCTATCTGTCTTGTCCATCTTGTCTGTAAAAACCCTCCTTGACCACTCTCCCCTGAGAACAGATCCCCTCCCATATGCTTCAATACTCTGCACTACCCCTACATAGCACTTCGTGTACCCGGAATGATTTACTTAATTATTAGCTTAATTATGTACCTTTCCAACTTTAAGTTCTAGGACAACAGAGATTCATTTTAATCAGAACTGATTTCCCAGTGTCCGGCACAGTATTTGGTCCATGTTTGTTGATTGACAAAAAAAAAAAATCTTAGATGATGGCTAATGCAGTTCTCCGGGGCACTGTTTGGCAAAAACTAGTTTTTGCTGCAAAATGGTAATAGGTGCTTTAAGGTAGAGGTTCTCAAAGGGTGTCCTGGGCATACAGTAAGCATTTAATAAATGGCATGATGTTACTGCTGATTATAATGACAATGGCAAAGGTGACAATAATATAAGAAATAACACATCATATCTATTCAAAAGGATCCGCTTTTTAAAATACTCCACGATTGAGCTCTTTGTAGTTTTTATCCATACAGATGTCTAAGCGTGACCTCTCATAACCATACTAGTCATTGATTCTAAAATCCCAGGACAGGAAAAACGTCCCAGGACCAGTTTAAAAGGCCGATGATCAACAACTACCATTGACAACAAATGCTGTCAATGAAGTATATTCTCTCTTCAGTTATAAGGATAAAAATTTATTATCTGCAAATGTAACACAAGAATAATATTTGCTGTGTCTTTTAAATTCTAAACCATAAAAAGCATAGAACATAAGCTACTAGACAGAAATTTCTTTTCTCATTTGCCAACCCCAATGTTATCGGGTGGTTTGCAACAGAACAGGTGTTCCCCAGGTAAACATTCCCTGGGCACACAGTGTAACTGTTTCATATCAGAGAGTCCCCAGCTGACCATCATGTTCCTAGCCCATTACTTGGAATTCGCCATGAATTTTCCCACAGACATTAAATTCTAAGACACGGTCTTGGTAATTCATACCAATTGTACTGTGGTATGCTATGACACATTGTGGATTAATAGGCTTTGTGTACTATGATATGATGTGAAACACTGTGGATTAAATGGGCTTTATGAGTTCACTTTAGAACCTGGACACATTGTCTAATACCGTTTCTCTGAGAAAATCGGTTCCAGGGCACAGGAAGCCCAGAAGCAATGCAAACACAAGTCCCTCCCCACTTTCTCCCTGCCCCATCCCTTTATCATCACCCCACTCGGCCACAGCCCAGGGGGAGCAGCATCCCGGCAGCCCCCTGGGTGCCCTTTGGAACATCAGTCTCCACCCAGAGCCCAGGCTCCCAGCCACAATTTCCTTACCTTTCACCTCTCACACTTTACCAAAACATTAATAAAACTGCTCTTCACCGTCATCCGACCCTGGGAAACCTCACCCTGCTTATGGCCCTCCCACCATCGGTTCCCTTCATTCAGCATCAGCCCTGGCTCCATCCTTTACTGCTCCCTTAAACCATCTCAGAAAGGAAAACATGCTTCCCAAACCCTCCTTTCGCTGTCCCCCCACCACCACCACTAACAGTTTTGCTCAGGCTGCTGCTCCCTTCTGTCTCAGCTCTCTCTGTCTCCAATCCATCCTTCCAGGGATTCTACCCATCCCAGATCCCACCACATTTCTGACACCCCCTACCACATTTCTGACACCTCCTACCACAGCCTACCTGACCAGCTCCTCACATGCACTCACCTCATTCTGCCTTGGATTTCTTTTCTTTTCTTCTTCTTTTTTTTAAATTTTCTTTATTTTTTAGAGGGTAGGGGCAGAGGGAAAGGGAAAGAGAATCTTAAAACAGCACGGATCCGGGAGGCAGGGCTTGATCTCACAACCCTAAGATCATGACCTGAGCCAAAATCAAGAGTAGGAGGCTTAGAGATGCTGGGGTGGCTCAGTTGGTTAAATCTGCCTTTGGCTCAGGTCATGATCCCAGAGGCCTGGGATCAAGTCCCACATCCCACTCCTTGTACCGCGGGGAGCCTGCTTCTCCCTCTGCCTGCCGCTCCCCCCTGCTTGTGCTCTCTCTCGCTCTTCTCTGACCAAAAAAAAAAAAAGGAACACTACATCTAAAACTAATGATGTAATGTATGGGTATTAACATAAAAAAAAAAAAAAAAAGATAGGAGACTTAACCCACTGAGCTACCCAGGCACCCCCTGCCTTGGATTTTTAATACTTATTCCCTGTCTTTCCATCTTTCTTTTGGAGTTCATTGAGCACAGGCACAGCTTCTTTATGGTGTCTGGATCCCTGCATTTCCCCCCCACCCCCCCAACACACACCCACAGCACCTGGCTCACTATAATGGTATGTGAATGCAATAGGAGTCAGCCGTCCAGTGTCTCCCTCAGTCTAGAAAGAGGCAGAAGGACATTATGGAACAATATCTGGGACCCAGTAAGAAAAAATGTGAAATAGTGTCAATGGGAAAAGAAATTGAGGTGTGACCAGCAGAATAGTAAGACAGAAATCCAACAGTTCTCTTCTGGAACCATCAGCATATGAATCCGGAAGAGAAAATGCTTCATTTTGGTATCTGAAGGAAATAATACTAACAGACAACGATTTTGCCCTCAGGAGGTGCTATACCTCCATGTAAAGGGCATCCCAGGCATGCCCCTTCATTCTCATAGCCACCCTATTACCTTCATTTTACATAGGAGGAAACTGAGGCATCCACAGTTAATTAACTGGCCTCGGGTCACACAATCAGCAGGGCAGAGCCAGGATTTGAACCTTTTCCCGGATCCAAACTCAGCGACTAATTCAACTACCTGTTTACTGCACAGTTTGTTTATTGTTGTTGTTTTTTTTTAAGTTTTTACAGCCTATTTGCAGGCTGTGGGGCAGAAGTCACCACCCACTGAGAGATAAAGAAATTAGGCATTCCTTCCACTCCTTGAGCGCCCTGTTCCTGAGGCCGTGTGGGCTGGGCAGCAGCTTCTCACAGTGACGAGGGTCCTGCTCCTTGGCAGAGTCCCCCCCCCCCAGGCTCCTGCCTGGCTCTGGGTGAGCGGCCTTAAGTCTTCCAGCAAACCCAGGAGCTAGGTATAAACGGAAACTGAGCCAGGGCAAATAACCCGCTCAGAGTCACACAGCCCAAGGTTTCAAAGGCAAGCTGCTGATGCTCCGAATCCATGCTTCAGGGCACCGACGGCCACAGGCTCCCCCGAGGTCCTCGCCAGAGAGACTGAGTCTGACGGCCCCTCTGCAGTCAGCCAGGGCGGGGCGGGGGCGCGGGACCCTTGCTCACCTGCAGTGCGGTGAGAAGACCCCCTACCTCACCAGGTGGTGGAAAGGATGAAACAGAATAAAGAACGCAGTTGCCTACAACACAATAAACAGTGAAGGACAACCCTCAGCCCTTCCCTCTGTTAGTCTGTGCCATTTTACGTATCACTTACGGTGGATCAACCTCGTTCCTCTTTAAAATAGATTGTTTTCTCTGAGATCCATGGAAGTCTGCAAAAATGCAGAAGAACACAGTGAGATGGAGGAAAAAGAATTTCCTTTCTCTCTATTGATCACCCTTCCCCCACTTTCTCGAGAAATTATTTACAACTCAAAATGACACCACAATGCATTATAAATAAAAAGCGTACCAAACAAATAACGAAGTCGCAGCCCTCGGGAGTTTACAAGTAGGCTATGTTAGTATTTGCAAAGTGCCCCGAGTGCCTTAGCGGCTAATTAACATCTTGGGTTTGTTTTCTCAAATTCCAGCCCATTGTTTCCCCTGTGAGCGCAATCCGAAGCCTTCGCCCCTAACGCGCTGCTGCCTGCATCTTCCTGCCAATAAAACCGCTTAAACCACAAGAGGTTAAAACAATTAATATTAGATGAAACCCCTCCGCGCCGAGGTTCCGGGGCCCGCGCAGCCCCGCGCTCTCCCGGCTGCACGGTCCCCGCGGCGCGGGCCCTGGACGGAGTCCCGGAGCCGCCGCGCCCCGCCGGCTCCGCTGGGCGGCTTAGCTCCCCCTGGGGGGCGAGCTCTTGCAAAAGGAAAACCGAAAACGAGCAGATGCTTATCTGACACGCTGTGGCCTGGGAAGAATCGCAGTCAGACTGCAGCAATCCATTAGGTACGCCGGCCGTCCGGCCGGCACTGCTATTTTTAGCGCGACTTTTATTTACATATTTCAAGAATTACTATCCTGATGATGGTACCTGTTAGAAAGGTCACGATCTCTCCAAAGGAAGTTCTGGATTTCCCTCCTCTGGTGCTCTAGAAACCCATCACCAACAAATCCCCCGCTCCTGTTTCAGACCCAGGCTTGCTGAGAAAGAGAAAGGTGTTGGAGGTGGGTCTCCCGCCCCGGGCAGATGTTAAGACCAGACGCCCATCACCCATGGGGAGTCAAAATTAGAACTTCGGTTTCCTTTGTATTATTACCCTCATCAGAAAGAATTCCTACATTTAGGCATACTTAGTGTTCTTGCTTTTTGATCGATGATCTTATTATGGACGCTTATTAAAAAGCCCCAAATCAGAGATCTGCTGGACGTCTCCTAGACTTATCCAGCTGGAACCGCAGAGCAGAGAGCAAGTGAGAAGCGGCTCTGTTTTCTTCAAACACTCAGACCTAGCCCCGGGTGCAGAGTGGAGAGGTTGAAGATCCGGCCTTGCTTCGAACGAGGGCTCCCCGCTGATAGACAACTGGATTGGATGATGCATGCCAACACCAGTAGGAGGGTGGGGGTGGTAAATACATTGACAATTCTTGTGGCACACTCCAGGTCTTGTGCGAAACGGAGGGGAATGTTCTTTTCAGCATTCTTTTCTAACAGGAGAAGAGCCATTTCTCACTGTGAAAGTACCTCGCGGGGATTCCCATTAAATAAAACTGCTTGACGATGACCTAATTTGTTCGTTCAAGAGGATAAACTCTTCTATCCATACATTATTGTTGTTATGGTTTCCATTGTTAAATTATACATAAAAGGCCCAAGCCTATTTGAGAAATGAAACGTTTTCAGAACATGAATCTTAATGAGATCCTTACACTAAATTGTGTATTTAGTGAGAATGGTATTATTTTAGCTGCCTCTTTATATTTTCACCAATATGTAATCCTCAAAGCACTTTTAAAAAATTATTGTAAAATGTATTTTCTTATAACGTGTTCATTCACTACCATAGACCTCCCTGTTGCCTTTTTGGTCTTAGGTTATTTAAAAAAAAAAAAAAATCTCCAAAATAAACCCTTTGGTAGTCTTCTGTCTTCCCTATATCTACTTTTCCTTCATAAAACTTGTCCACTTTTCCTCGGATAAAGTGTTTTCAAACAGGAACAAATTTACAGACAAGTGCTTCTCAATGTGTAGTTCCTAGAACACGGGTCCTACAAGACCCTCCCTGGAAAGAAAGTTGACCAGTGCATTTGGGGAACGCCTCACATTCTCCCCATCCAAGGTTTACAAATCACATTAAGTCTTACCGTCAAGAAACCTGCTGAACTTGGCTTAGCCCGGCATTTCTCAAATTTATTTGCATAACCCTTTTCCAAACAAGGCTTATTAATAGGCTGCGGAACTTTTATTTCTAGGATTACACTTTGGGAATTAGTGATTGAGACCATCTAATATATGGAATAATTATAGGTCAGATAAAACTGAGGTAAGTCAAGCTGCAGCATAAGAATTTTTTTAAAGAGGAATCTGAACTTAATTGCTATTTGTGAATTTCATAAATCCACTGTGTTAAAAAAATAATGATGCCTTAAATACGTAGGTGATTAAAGGCTGTGTGAGAACCCTGAAACTACACAGAATACGAAGGTTCCAGAAATATCCCTTTTATCCCATGGGAACTATAATCCAAAGTGTGGTAGATTCCATATTTGTTGACTCAGCCTCTCCATCGGTCCCAACACACTGGGAATATTTTAAAATAGTCCCCATAGATATACACTCCCGCGGTGCTCTTAGAAGTGAATTCAGTGCTCAGGAGAAAGGGCCACCCAGTCCAAACCTGTTCTATGGCTTGAGCCCCCACCTTTGCCCCCCAAAGATAACCATGCACCCCAATAGGATCTATGCTACCAGAAGATCTGCATGGCTGACAAGCCTTTTGTGCATTTTCTATCCCTTACGGTAGAGCTATCAGACAAAAACACACAAACATCATTCTTGAGAACAAGACAAACTAGCAGCCTAAAGGCCCTGCAAACTGTGGCCCATCTGGACCAATTGGTGTTTAATGAAAACTTTTCATAAAAGGAATCCAGGGGCGCCTGGGTGGCACAGTCTAAGTACCCACCTCTTGGTTTCCACTCAGTTTGTTATCTCAGGGCCCCCCCCCCACCCCACCGCCCCCAGCCAGCTTTCAGGTGCCACACTCAGGGCCGAGTCCGCTTAAGACTCGTTCTTCCTCACCCTCTGCCCCCTCTTGTCCGTGCTTGCGCGCGCTCTCTCTCTAAAATAGATAAATAAGTCTTTTATTTTTTTAAATATTTTATTTATTTGCTTGACAGAGAGAGAGCGAGGGACAACAAGCGGAGACGCGGGTAGAGGGGTGGGGTGGGGGTGGGTAATGGCAGAGGAAGAGGAAGCAGGCTCCCCGCTGAGCAGGGAGCCCAATGCCAGGCTCCATCCCAGGCCCCCCGGGGATCATGACACCGGGTGAAGGCAGCGGCTCAACCGACTGAGCCACCAGGTGCCCCAGATAAATAAGTCTTTAAAAAAAAAATAAAAGGAACTCCAGGTGTGTCAAGCACTTGGGCTAATAGGAAGTGGGGAGCATACAAATGAAAGGGGTTGTGTCTAGTCCTTCTCAATCAGATATTCTCCAGAAAGTGAAAGAGAAGCATTTACATTAAAACACTTAACAAAGTGCCCTTTTATACCCCTACGGATCCATGGATCCCAAATAGCACTGTCTTCCCCACATTCACATATTAAGGCACAAAAGGTAACATGAATATAACTAAGAAATTATGCATTACATTTGTCTTGTAATCTTCACAACACTTAGCAGAAAACTAGGCAAAAAAATAGATGCTCCATAAATACTAATCAATTGATTAATTAATTGACCAACTAATGGCCCTTTCAAAATCACGTATTATCCGAGAGAAGCTCGACTTATACCCTGAACACTTAGTTCTTGTTTAACCACAGGAGATTATTTTCTATTTCAAGGGAGACTCACAGTTTAAACTGGACTGTGAAAAATGAATCAACACAGGCTGGCAAATATTTCTTAAGTTCTATTCCACCCACAAAATTTGCATTATGTCTGTTGATATTTGTCAAATGCCACCAGGCCCTTTCTATCATCTTCTCTCACACAAAACAGCCTGGAACTGGGCATATCTGCTCTCTGTTGCCTAATAATTATGAATTTTATGGAAACTTTTCAAGGCAATAGAAATAATAGGCAAAACATATTTCATTTAAGCCCATCAAATAATTGCTTTTTAAGGTCTGATGCTTGACTTGTTGAAGATAGAAACACAAGCTTAATTTCATCACTAAGAATTACTAGGATCGCAGAACATATATCATTAAACACATGGGTCTATCCTGAGAAATTTCACCATAATCAGCCATATTAACACCCAGAATCTGCTACTTAAAATGCTTATATTTGAATTGACTAGATATGTTTAAAGTAGAGAAATTACCCAGTGTGCCTCTGGTTAAGAATTCGTAGCAAACATCGTGCGTCTCATACTTTCACAGAAAATGAAAGTGATAATTATCAAAATAAAAATCGGAATCTGCATGTGTCAGACAACTTCCCCCTTTTCTGTTATTTTCAACCCCCCACGGAGTAGAAGAACTGAAAGTTACCTTTTGGTGTTGGTTCAAAGAAACTATTTTTCCATTCAAACAAAGTAATTTCTTTTTTTAAAAATTTTTTATTTATTTTTAAAATAATCTCTACACCCGATATGGGACTCGAACTCACGACCCCACAATCAAAGGTGGCACGCTCCACTAACTGAGCTAGCCAGGTACCCCAGTAATTTCTTAAGGCAGTTAGTATAGTATATAAACAATGACACTATGTAGTAAAATGAAGTACTAGTCACAGGTGGGGAGAGTATATTCTATTTAAAGTATGTGCTTTTGATTCAATCAATGATCAAGCTGTGTGCCTTTCTGGCATGGGACTCGAACAAAAGGATACTACATGTTGTCTTTCAATGTTATGTGACCTTAAAGGCCAGGACTGCTCATTCCATCCCGGTCTATTCCTCCAGGAGTATTTTAAGGTGGTTTGAGGGGACACATCCCCACAATCTGTCCAAGCCAAAACAAGGTTACTGATGGGTTTTCACATCCTTACATTTTACCCTTGGAAGTTCTGTCTGGTCAGGAAAATGGGACAGCTACAGGCTGGTGTTTATGCTGCCACCTCTTGGCCTTATGAGGAAATACATCACAGGAAGAGGGTAGGAGAACTCTGTTGCGTGTTGTCTTTATGTTGTTTTTTGTCAGAGTCAGTAAATGCTTCTTTTTTTTTTTAAGATTTTTTATTTATTTGACAGAGGCACAGTGAGAGAGGGAACACAGGCAGGGAGAGGGAGAAGCAGGCTTCCCACGGAGCGGGGAGCCCGATGCGGGGCTCGATCCCAGGACTCTGGGATCATGACCTGAGCCGAAGGCAGATGCTTAACGACTGAGCCAACCAGGCACCCCAGTAAATGCTTCTTAAATGCTGGAAGGGGAACTCACAGACCCTTTGGAGCATATTACAAAATCCCTGGACTCCCCTCCCTGGAAAAAGCACATACACAAAAAACTTTCGTAGACAAATCTGGACAACCTGAAGCCCATCCTTGTACCCCTTTCTAGACTACACATTCAGTAGCGCAACTCATTTTTTTGCTCCAGGACAAAAATTCTGTAAAATGGGAGAAAGTGAACACCCTGAGAGGATGATTAGAATGCAAGATTCAGAAGAAAAAAATTGACA